TCTAGTTTTTCCTAATAGAAGTATTAGAAAAGCACTGGGTTATGAAGCAAGAAGTCAGTCCCAGGAACATAGCTGAAGTAACAGGACCGCTTTGGAAAGAAACACCAAATGAGAGTTTTTATCTTTCAAGCTGTCGTTTTAGGAGGCTGGATAGTCTTTCCACTGGTATGTCCTACATTACTCAACATACCTTTGGAAACTCCTTTTAGAATTTCTTTGGAGAAAAAATTTTAAATCATTCTTCTTATTCAGGGATCTTACCTCACTTAACAAAAAGACAGCACTCATTTTAGATACCTTTTACCCTATGACCTAGATGATACCAAGTGGCTCACTTCCCTCTTTAAAATCAGTTTCATCTTCAGAAAAGATTTGCCACCATTGGGAGCCTGCCACTTCAGGCTCTGAAAGCAATTACAAAAATAGCAAAATATTTTGAAAAATGGTAGAATCGTTGCAAAAAGTGTTTAATCTCCTTAACTGATTAAGGACCATGTAAGAAACTAAGAGACAGTTGGTCTTTTGTACTTTTTGTTCTCTGTGTATAATATATATATATATAAAATATAATTTTTAGTTATTCTTTGTTGTAATATATCATAGATTCTTTGCCTATATTTTTATTGTTTACTTTTGGACCTGTCCTGTTAATTTTGTACTGTTTTTAGGGTACCATTTATTTATTTGTCAGAGAAATTATATTTTCTTCCTGAGTATTGGCAAGTCTGTCTAAACTTTGTCCTGTAGCTAATACACCAGGGTGGGGGGAGGGGGATTACCAGATGTATTCCTGGAACCTAAAAATAAGCTGAGAATGCTTAAAATGCTTAAAAATCAGTATTTAAGTGGAAAGCTAAAAACTTTTATCCAAGTCAGAGATCAGAGTATAGCCTGTTATGAATTCCACTTATATTAAATTGATTAAATTGCTTGTATTAATAGAATTGAAGAAGAGCTATGTCATGAAAAAGGGAATGCTTAGTTTAGGGACATAGGAAAATGTAGTTAGGCAGAATTACTATATCTTAGTCATGTCTGTGAGTTGCCCTCTCTGGGGCATAGTTAGGTAAATTCAGCAGAGACATGTCACCTGGTAGGATCTCTTGGAGGTCATTCAACTGAGTTTCTCTCAGCATGCCTTCTACATGTTATTAATAACCTTTCAGTTTCAACAAGTATCATCTTTATATTTAAGCATATTCTCAGTTCCTTCACCCTGGTCATTTCTAAAGATGAAGTGGACTGGCCCTGGATCCTTAAAATGATTCTTAAGAACCTATATAAGGGGAAGGTAATCATGTTACTTTAGGATCCTAGTGGTTCTAAGTTCCCTGCTTTTTCTACAAAGAAATAGATGAGTAGATAAAATGGATTGCATTAAAATGTTCTATTTGCTTGATCTTCCTATTTGTGTGTAACAGAAGGTACCTACCCTCTGTGCTAAGTGTCAACTATTTGGAAAGTATCTATCATTTGAATTATAAAGATCTTATTTTAATGTGTTTTAATCCTCAACATTTATTATTTATAAAATGAATAATTAATTCAACATTTACTCGGTACCTAGTGCTAGGAAGAGTTGTAGTCACTAGAAATATAAAGAGGATTAATATGTGTTCTGTACAGTTGAAGGGAGCCTCATTAAGCTGAGATTAGTGCACGTGTAGGAATGTGGCCAGGCACGATGGCTCATGCCTATAATCCTAGCACTTTGGGAGGCCGGGACTGGAAGATCACTTGAGGCCAAGAGTTCAAGACCAGACTGCACAACATAGCAAGACCCTATCTTTAAAAAAAAAAAATGAAAAATTAGGCAAGCATGGTGGTGTGCCCTTGTAGTGCCAGCTACTTGGGAGGCTGAGGCAGGAGGATCACTAGAGCCCAGGAGTTTGAGGTTGCAGTGAGCTATGATGATGCCACTGTACTCTAACCCAGGCAACAGAGCAAGCCCCTGCCTCTAAATAAATAAATAAGATATGTGCTAGATGAGAGGTATTATGGGAAAGTAGGAGAAAGTGATTCTACATGGAAAGCTAGACCTTGAAAGATTAGTAGGAATTTACTACAAGGAGAATTAGAGAAGTTAATTGCAGCCTAATGAGAAACCACACATAGAGGTAAAGAAATGTTTGAAGTGAACATATGTGTGGTTTATGTAGGGAGAGTGGCTTGAACAAGTTGAAAATATTCTAAGTGGAAACACATTTAATACACCTAATCTACTGAACATCATAGCTTAGCCTAGCCTACCTTAAATGTGCTCAGAACACTTACATTAACCTACAGTTGGGCAAAATCATCTAAAAACACAGTACATTGTACAGTATTGGCTGTTTACCCTCATGATCATATGACTAATTGGGAGTTGCAACTCATAGCTACTGTCTAGCATTGCAAGGGAGTATCTTGCTATGTATCACTACGCTAGGAAAATATCAAAATTCAAATTTGAAGTGTGGTTTCTACTGAATATATATTGTTTTCAGACCATAGTAAGGTCAAAAAATCATAAAGTTGTAAGTCGAGCCATCATAAGTCAGGTACCTCTTAAGTCTGTGTAGATACCTGGTGATAGTGGTAAGAGATAAGCTGAAACTTAGTCACTTGTGACTAGGTTAATTTACAATGCTGAGAACTTGTGCCTTCTTTTCCTATCAAAATGGGGAGGTGTAATTTAAATAACAGAGTACCATTATCAGCTTTACAGTGCAGAAAAATTAGAAACAGTGGGAAGATGGATTAGAGATAGGCCACTTAGGGAAGGTTTTAAAGTGAAAGGTGAGGAGGACTTCAACTAGGAGAGTGGGGAGGAGGGAGGCAGGTTTAGAATATATTTTTGAGGTGGAATCAGTAGAACTTGGTGACAAATTAGATGTTGGGGTGAGGAAAATGTTGAATAACCTTCCAGGGCATCTGAAATGATGGTAGAACCATTAAGTAAATTAGGTAGGATAGAAGAAGAAATAGGTTTTGAATATTGGGTTTTGGATATGCAGAATGGCACTGTGTACTTACTGATCTACTGGATAGATTAGAGTTTAGGAGAGACTTGGGAACACAGGTTAGGAACTGTCTCTCTTGGTGCTAGCCACTGCTGTGTGCTATCTTAATTGCTATACAACCCCAAGAGATAAGTATTATAGTATTTTCCCTGTCTTACAATGAAGAAACTTAGGGTCAGAGAAATAAGTCACTTGCACAAGGTCATATACCATGAATTTTTCCATAGTGTTTTCATTCTCTAATGCTATGAAGCAAACCACTCCTTAGTTTTGTGACTTAAAGGGATGATTTATTATTATTTTTTATGGTTCTGTGAATTGACTGGGCTCAGCTAGAAAATGTTAGTTTGGGAACTCTCATTTGGTTGCAGTCATATGGCAGCTAGAACTGAAGTCATCTGAATGTTCAGCTAGGCCACATATCCAAAGTAACTTTTGTATTCATGTGTCTGACATGTCAGCTGAAATGGCTGGAAGAGCTGGGGGCTGACTGGTCATCTATCTCAATAAGTCTCAGCATACAATCAGACTGGGCTTACTCATTCAGCTGCACAGCAATTTTCGACTTACTATACAGTATCTGGCTTACCCTTAGGGGGAGTTGTCCAAGACAGCCAGGCGGCAATGTAAGCTCTCTGATGATCTAGGTTCAGACCAGGTGTGGTGGCTGATACCTGTAATTCCACACTTTGGGAGACTGAGGTGGGAGGAGCACTTGGGGAGTAGGATTTTAAGACCAGCCTGAACAACATAGGGAGGCAGTCATCTCTACAAAAAATTTAAAAATTAGCAGGGCATGGTGGTGCATGCCTGTAGTCCTTGCTACTTAGGAGGCTGAGCCAGGAGGATCTCTTGAGCCTGGGAGTTGAAGGTTGCAGTAAGCTATGATCACAATTCTGTACTCCACCCTGAGCAGCAGAACAAGAACCTTTCTCAAAAAAAAAGTAGTCATGTACTTTCACTTCTGCTGCATTTTGTTGGTTAAAAGTAAGTCACAGAGCCAACCCAGATTCAAAAGTAGGCAACTCACAAGGGCATGACTGTCCAGAGGCCACCTTTGAACATTAGCTTCTTCCATACCCTGTGCTATCTTTGGAAATTGTTTTTAAACAGCCTGGAAATAGATGGGTCCTAAGAATGCCTGGCTAAAAAGTGAAGAGGGTACAAGAAGACATCTGGGGGCCATGAATGTGGTTTGTTTGTTTATTTATTTATTATTTCATCATCATATGGGGGTACAAATGTTGTTAAGGTTACATATATTGCCCTTGCCTGCCCTCCCCCCTCGAGTCAGAGCTTCAAGTGTGTCCATCCCCCAGGTGGTGCGCATCACACTCATTATGTAAGTCATGAATGTGTTTTGAAAAAAGACCCAAGGAAGAAGAGTCAGTGAAAAAAAAAAAATGAATGACTGACTAGAAAGGAAGAAAACTTAGAGAAAGTGGTGCCAAAGAAGCCAACGGGGGAGGAAGTCACTGCCACTATGGCCATAGGTCCTTAGATTTGTTTGTCATGTTATGATGGCCCTGTGGTTTAAATGTACTTATATAGATCACAATGACCCATTTAAAAGACTGTCCTTTGTTTTTCTTTTCCATTCATCCTACCCTACATGTACATACTCAGTTGATGCCTAAAATTATGCAGTTAGAACTTCATTGACTTAATCCATTGTGAAACCTTTATGCTTTAAGTCATTTGTAAATTGTGCTGATATTTGAGATACTTTATTAAGAGTAGGCTTCCATAGGAATAGAAAGAATGTAGCACTTCTGGCTTCCTAGAGAGTAGGTTGTAAAGATAGAGGTATCTCTGTAGAATAGCAGGGCTGGGAGAGTTAGCATAATGGCACACTGCTGCTGGTCTTGCTAGGATGTTGAATTCCAAGAAAGTATAAAGTGCCACACATTGAATTAATTCAATACCATAGATAGAAGAATGAAATAGGGAATTTTTTGGTCTATAATTAATAAATCACTGGTGTTTTCTTTATTTCAGAGCACAAAGTTATCATTGTTGGGCTGGATAATGCAGGGAAAACTACTATACTTTACCAATTGTAAGTATTAACTACCTTAAAAAATTTATTTTAGTTCTAGTCATTTTTTCTGCCTAGGTGACATTTGATCAATGAAAGCAATAAGAAATTATATGGAGCCTAAGTTACCATGTGAGAAAGCAGGTTGGCCGTAAAGTAGGAGCCAGATTTAAGCAACTGTTTGTAGAGAGCTAGAAATTTATATGACATCAAGTATTTTGTTCAGTTATTTTGAACTTACAACTCTTTTGTTTGTAGAAAGTAGAAAAATAATTGTTTTGAGTTTCCTGGAATGTTCTGGAATATTGCAGATAGTCTGCTATCTAGTTCCAGCTCCTTAGCTTATTCATGTTATGAACTAGTGGGAAAAGGATATATGGGTATAAAATATAAAAAGAGATCATGCTTGATTTGTCCTTGGTTGAGAAATTGTCCAAACAAGCTAGCTTCCTTGCTAATTGTAGTATATATTAACTTTTTTTTTCCAGTTCTATGAATGAAGTTGTGCATACATCCCCTACAATAGGAAGTAATGTAGAAGAGATAGTGGTTAATAATACACGTTTCCTAATGTGGGATATTGGTGGCCAAGAATCTCTTCGTTCTTCCTGGAACACTTACTATACTAACACGGAGGTAATGTTTCTTATGTACTAAAACTTCTATGAACAGAATGCTTGGGAAACACTTAGATTTGAATCTTTGTGAAATGTCATAGTATGTTAATGTAGAGAGAGTTTCAGCATAGTAAAATCTTTGATTTCCTAATTCAGGGTCATTGTTCATATATCCACTGTCATTGAACCTCTATAGGAAGAATTGGTGTAGTTGGTTAGTCAGGTTGTGTATTGATCCCAAAACTTGTCTTGAGTAATTGTTTTTATTACTATAATGACTTCCATCTCACAGTTTGTATTTTCATTTTTCTCTTACTGTTTATGTTTGGCAGAGTAGAGAAAATCCTAGATAAATGAGAGAGCTCTAGTAGTTTGAATCCTAGCTAAAGTTTTATTGTGTATTTTCTTTTATTTAATACAATTGCACATTAAAGAATTTTTTTTATTTTTATTTACATGTTATTTCCAAGAGAAAATTTCAGACCTATGATATTTCAGTGTTCTGTTGTATAGACCTGTAAATTAAAAGACTGTGACAATTGTTTTTATAGTGCTCATTAGAAGTTAATAAAACATGCTCTACATGTATATAAAACTGACTTTTAAGCCATTAAGACACTATTAAGTGTCTCTAACCAACTGATTTTCCAACACTGCATTGGGCATTTAGTCATGTTTTTTGGAGAAGGAAAGATGTATGATTGTAAAGGCATATATAGTACCCCAATATGTAATGTTGCAGGAATCAAATTTATGCCAACACCTTTAAAATTAGAAGCTTTATTAAAATCCTTGTAATAGAGTGGATTTTATAGTAGTAAAGTTATCTGTCAGTATCAAGTGAGAAGAAGTAAAGTAGCAGTTCTCTTATCCATCTATCTTTTGGCTGATGAACTCTGAAGAATAGAAAAGATGCTGGAAATCATAGTGGTTTATTTAGCAATTAAAATCTGCTAAAAGGTAGATAGTGCATATTAATAATAGGCAGTCAGAATTAACTTGGGCATCATAAAGTGAGGAAATTAACTCTTCAGCTGCTCCTGCCTCCCTCTTGCTTTTTGGCACTTACGGAGCTGAAGAGGAGGTACAGTAGAGCTCCGTCCCACCCAGCACAGCCCTTGCAAGTCTTTCATTGCATCTTCTGATACCAGTCTCATCATCACTTTGTGCTTTCCGGTTTCCAGTGCCATTTATATAAGGAAGAGCTTATTTTTATATATAGATATATTTTTTCATTTTGTTGATTTTTCTTAAAATCAATTTTTCTTAATTGATTTCCTTAACTGTCACATTAGTTTACTCCCATATACATGCCTTTTTAGGTTCTCAAATTAATACTATTAAATAATAATTGTCTGGAAGTAACAAATTTAATGTATTTTTTTCTTAATGATATATAGTGCAAATAGATGGATATAGGCCCATTAGCATTCAATATACTAAGTTAGAAAACAGACGTGTTATATATTGGTTAGAATGTTAGCATCATGTTCTCTTTTCTCTTATTTTCTCTTAAAAATTATCAAATATATTTGAATTAGAAATGGATCAGACCTTTAGGCTTCTACTACAATGTGTAGCAGGTATCTTGGGTTTTCCAACAATCCCATAAGATTATAATTTCTTCTCTAAATTATTTTTTAAAAATATTTTTAGAGACAGGTTCTCGCTGTCACCCAGGCTGAAATGCAATGGCATGATTGTAGCTTACTGCAGCCTCAAACTCCTGGGTTCAAAGGATTTTTATGCCTCAACCTCCTGAGTAGCTAGGACTATAGGCGCACTTCACCATATCTAGCTGCTTTTTTTTTTTTTTTTTTTTTGGTAGAGCCAGATCTCACCTAGGCTGGTCTTGAACTCCTGGCCTCAAGTGAGCCTCCTGCCTCAGCCTCTCAAAGTTCTGGGATTACAGATATGAGCCACTGTACCCAACAGATTTGAATTTTTTGATAATAGTAACCTGTAATTCAAATAAGCACTTTATAAATTTTAGAAATATCAAGTTATGTAATCACTAATGTTCTTTTTTTGTAATTATTTTAGTTTGTAATAGTTGTTGTGGACAGTACAGACAGAGAAAGGATTTCTGTAACTAGAGAAGAACTCTATAAAATGTTAGCACATGAGGTAAGTAATCTTCTTTCATTAAATGTGGGGCGGGTATTTGTATCACATTTGTTCTTTCTAGTTTCTCATGAGGGTGCTATCTATTTCAAATTTTTAAAAAATTAGTTATATGCTAGCCATGGATATTTTATTATTTTGGCACTTCCCAAATTGGAAATATATATGGAAGCAGCAGAAAGACTGTGGAGTCAATTATAGGCTTTATTTCACTTATTCTAGACAAATTTGGTTTGGAAGGTTATTTAGGCAAAAGGAATTCCTACAAATAGCTTTTATTTTCATTTTGAATAGATTAATTGTACAGATGATTATCATTAGAAATGAGATTCTAGGCCGGGCATGGTGACTCATGCCTATAATCCTAGCACTCTGGGAGGCCGAGGCGGGAGGATCACTCAAGGTCAGGAGTTTGAGACCAGCCTGAGCAAGAGCAAGACCCTGTCTCTACTAAAAATAGAAAGAAATTAATTGGCCAACTAAAAATATATAGAAAAAATTAGTTGGGCATGGTGGCGCATGCCTGTAGTCCCAGCTACTCAGCAGGCTGAGGCAGGAGGGTTACTTGAGCCCAGGAGTTAGAGGTTACTGTGAGCTAGGCTGACGCCATGGCACTCAAGCCTGGGCAACAGAATGAGACTCGGTCTCAAAAAAAGAAATGAGATTCTAAAGTACCTAAATATATAACAGCTCTTGGTTATTACCCAGTTAGCAGACTAATATTTAAATGTAATTGCTCTTAGGTTTCTCTGCTGTTATTTCTTTGACTACACAAAACTATATGACTAGCCACATTTTTTTAGTCCTTGAAAAATATTACTGGTGATATAAGTCAAAATATAAGCAGAATAATATGATCAACTTAATAATGGTAATGGAAACTGTAAAGTCATAATATTTACTGTAGTGGCAGTTGATTCTAGTGGAAGTTTTGTACATCTTAAGAAAATTGGGATATCTTTGCAATGAAGTTCTGTGTTTATTTTAATATTGACTTGATGATTGCTTTTGAGATTTGTTCTGAGAATTTTGGTATGTTTCAGGCAACCTTTCAAGACTTTAGGAAACCTAGTGAAGTGGTTTTGTAAATTGAGGTTCTCCGTTTGCCTTGTGTTGATCTCGGGGATGTACCTTTACATATTTTGAACTCGAATTCTGGATAAATCTCCTGGGATTTTAAAAAACTATATCTTGCCTTTGTGCATTCATTTACCAAGTTTCTAATTTGGGATATAAATTAAACCGTAAAAGAGGCAGAAAACCAGGAATTATTTTTTCTTTTCAACTTTGTATTTTGCAAAAATGGAACATTCTTCAGTTTATTCCAAAAGGTTATTTTATGAAGACGTTAGAAAAATACATGCAAATGTTATTTGTCTCTTGGCTTTATTTTTTTACTCTGTTAACAGGTAGTCTCTCCATTTGATTTTTACTCTAATTGGCCAATATGTAGCAGGATCAGTATATGAAGAGCCCACTAGGAAGGCTTAAACAATGTCTTTGAATTTGACTAGTTGGGGGCATTAACTTGGGCAGATCACTTAACCTTATCTGTTGTGGATGAAACACTGAGGCCCAGAAAGTTCATGTGGCTTGACCAGCTTTCCAAGAGCCAGAATTTGAAATTTGGTATTCTCATCCAGGTTCTTTACTAGGAGGATAAAAAGAAAAAGATTTAAATAGGGCCTCGCTGGAAAGTGAAAGGAAACTGAATGGGGAGATTACTAGAGAAAAAAGGAATTATAGATGAAGTTGGGAGCTAGGTAAGCCGCTCAGTAGGGTAAAGAGTAGTCACATAGTCAGAGTTCTAGACAGGGACAAGTGGATCCAAGAATGAAATGTGTGAATGAAAAATAAATTTAGGTGTGGCATTAGTTGAATGTTTTATATGTACTACATTAACCAAAAAAATTTCATTATCATTACTGGATAATGATTCTTTACATTATTATAAAATACAAAATTGTAAAAATTTTAAAAGCTCTCAAAGCTTCATCTTTAATGAGGTATAAAATTTTGAAGCTCATTAATTTTGAAATAGTTCCAAACACCAAAGTCTGAAATTTTATTCAGAATTATTTAACTTCTAGGAATTATCTTCACAAATGAAGTTTTGAGAAACAAATTGAAATTATATATGGCATATAAAAGATGCTAAGTAATAGCAACTTGTAATTGCTGTTTTTCAGCTCCTTGATAAAACTAAAATATATCTTAGAATCTTAAGAATAAAAATCTGTAGTATATAGTAGAAAGTGTTTTAAAGGGTTTGAAATGGCTATGTACAAAAAATCAGCACTATTCACTTTATACTTTGACCCTCTTCTTATTAAGTCAAGTTGATGAACAGCCATAATTCAGTATATCTGTTTTCTATTTTTATAATGCATAATTGATTTTGAAGTTATGTGTAAAAAGCAAAGGAAGATTTTCTTTCCCCTTTTCCTAAATATTTTAAAATAGATAAAATATCTACTTTTTAAAAATTAAGAACCCTAGATAAAAAAGTTTGAGCCTTGAGATCTAGAAAAAATTATATTCAATTTTTTTTTTTTTTTGAAACCTTTCAACAAATGGCTTTGTTTCTTGTGTTTTACTATTTTTGGTCTGGGGGCTCTACAAATAATTCATCACTAAGAGTGATGAATATAAACTACTTAAAAATAATATAAACAATGTGTCCTAACTTGTGCCAACTATTTAAGTGAGGACTTTGTTCTTTGAACATGTCAGCATTAGCAAACCTGACCTATATAAAAGACTTCAGCACACACTAGTAAGAAATAGTGAAACCTACTTGATCGGAAGATAGGAATTACATCCCATGGAAAGTCCATCTACTTAATGACTCAGCCACATATCAACTATTGATAATGGTTCCATTTTCCCATTTAGGATAAGAGACAAAGTATATATTGTATATCCTTGATAATAAGAACATGAATACAAGTTATAGTCCATCTCTTCAAATTTTTTATCTTTTATATAGACATGGGAACTGAACAATAGGTGAAACTAGTTGAAAGTGAAATTTTACATTCTAGCAGTATGGCCATATTATTAATATTTAGGTAAATATTAGGTCATTAAATATGAAATGTCTGAGTTTGAATCAAAAGTTTAGTTTATTATATCTCAAACAAGAAGCAATACAGTTAATCAAAGTATGCGCCTAAACTATCGACACAGTTTTGCCATCTTAACCGTGGCTTGTTTATGCCAGCAGTGAAGAAGCCTTCAGAGCGAGTGGTGATGAAATCGTGAAAGGTGTTTTCCACATCTTGTTGAGGATTGAATATTTTTCCTTGCAAGAAATGGTCGAAAGCCTGGAAGCAGGTGATAGGCAGTTGGTGCAAGGTCTGGTGAATATGGTAGATGACAGAGAGTTTCCAATCCAGCCTCTATAGTTTGAGTAGCATTGATTGTGCAACACATGGTTGACCATTATCTTGCAAGAGGATTGACCTGTCTGTATTGACCAATCTCAGCTGCCTAATCATAAGCATCCTCATCATTTCATCCAGTTGGTTGCAGTAGACATCTGCTGTAATCGATTGGCCAGTTTTCATGAAGTTGTACTGGATAATACCAGCGCTGGACCACCAAAAACAGCATTAGTTTTTTTTTTTTTTGATAAATTTTTGGTTTTGGACTATGTTTTGGCACTTTATCCAACCACTGTACTGAATGCTTGTGATTGCCAGAAAGAATCTATTTGTCATCACACATAGTAACATGGTATAGAAATTGTTTGCCTTTATGTCTTGACTACAAAGAAAGGCAAGCTTCAAGACAGTTTCTCATCTGATGTTCATTTAATTCATGCGGTACCCATCTATCTCGCTTCTTGACCTTGCTGATTTGTTTCAAATGGTCCAATCTTGTTGGAATAGTAACATCAAACCTTGCTGCTAATTCACATGTAGGTTAAGATTTATTTACTTCCACCATAGCTTTCAGCTCATCATTATCCACCTTGGTCTCAGGTCGCCCACATGGCTCATGTTCAAGATTAAAATCACCAGAATGGAAATTCTCAAACCATCGACGTACTGTGCCTTCATTAGCCACATCCTTCCCAAACAATTTGTTGATATTTCTAGCTGTCTGCACTGCATTGATTCCATGACAGGACTCATATTTGAAAATAACATGAATTTTTCTCATGTCCATGTTTTCACAAAAATTGCTCTATAGTCTTTCTGACTTTAAGCTGTACTATAAAGCAATAATAATTAAAACAGCCTGGTACTGGCACAAGAACAGAGGCATCAATCTTTGTAATAGGACTGAGATTCCAGAGATGAAACCATCTGCATATGGTAACCTGATCTTTGATAAAGCAGACAAAAATACACATTGGGGAAAAGAATCTATCTTCAATAAATGGTGCTGGGAAAACTGGATATCTACCTGCAGAAGAATGAATCAGGATCCCTACCTCTCACCTCTCACAAAAATCCACTCAAGATGGATAACAGACTTAAACCTAAGGCATGAAACCCTAAGAATCCTATTAGAAGATGTTGGGAAAACATCTTTCTGACATTGGCCTAGGCAAAGAATTCTTGAAGAAGACTCCCAAAGCAGTCATCACAGCAACAAAAATAAACAAATGGGATCTGATCAAATTAAAAAGGTTCTGCTCAGCTAAAGAAACTATCATTAGAGCAAATAGACAACCTACAGAATGGGAGAAAATATTTGCTCTCTATACTTCCAATAAAGGTCTAATAACAAGAATCTAACTAGAACTCAAAAGAATTAACAAGAAAAAAAATCAAACAACCCCATCAAGAAATGGGCAACGGAAATGAACAGAAACTTTTCCAAAGAAGACAGAATAATGGCCTGCAATCATATAAAAAATGCTCAATATCTCTAATCATTAGAGAAATGCAAATCAAAACCACAATGAGATATCACCTAACCCCAGTGAGATTGGCCTATATCAAGAAATCCCAAAACAACAAATGCTGGCGAGGAAGTGGAGAGACAGGAACACTCTTACACTGCTGGTGGGACTACAAATTAGTGCAACCTTTGTGGAAAAGAATTTGGAGATACCTCAAACAGCTAAAAATAGACATATCGTTTGACCCAGCAATAGCATTATTAGGCATCTACCCAAAAGAAAGACATTCTGTTATAAAGACATCTGCACCAAATGTTTATGGCAGCACAATTCACTATTGCAAGGATGTGGAAACAACCCAAGTGCCCGTCAATTCATGACTAGATTATTAAAATTTGGTATATGTTTACAATGGAATATTCTAAGAAACGACAGCAAGCTCGCACCTGGACTGAGCTTAAGTCTATTATCCAAAGTGATGTGACACAAAATCAGAAAAATGGGCTCCACATGTACTCGCCATCAGATTGATACTGACCGATTATCAATATGGTCCTCAAAGGAGGGTGGTGGTGCTCAAAGGGTGGGGGGGGGTAGACCCACATTTGAGGGATGTGGCGAACAGTGGAGGGTAAGGGCATACCTCTAACCCTTGCTGGGTAAAGGGAACATTATAAAATCTAACCAAAATGTTAAAAAAAATAACATTTATTGGGTCTTGGCAGGTGGGAGAGGGAGGAAGGGATGGGTATATACATACATTATAAGTGCAATGTGCATTATCAGAGGGATGGACACGCTTGAAGCTCTGACTCGAGGAGGGAGGGAAGGCAAGAGAAATGTATATAACCTTAACATCTGTACCTCCATATTATGCTGAAATAAAAAAAAGATGATTTGAAAGATAATCACAAGCCAAACCATGTGTTTTAAAGAATAAGGATGTACCTTCACAGAAATGATAAAACAAAAGGTGTCAGAGTGAAATGTCAGAGATACCAACTGTCAAACTTAGTACTTAAGGAAATCAGACATTTCATACTTAATAACCTAGTATTATCAGCTATGGTAGCATTAATAGCTGCCATACTGCAGAGGGCACTGTAACAAAAAGTCAGTCATGCTTGTTATATAAAACATTTGCATAACTCCTTTTAACCAAATGAGAAATATACTAATATTTTTTATGTACATCAGAATTAAAGAAGTCATCAAAACTATATTCTAGGTTGGGAGCAGTGCCTCACACCTATAATCCTAGCACTCTGGGAGGCTGAGGCAGGAGAATCGCTTGAGCTCAGTAGTTTGATACCAGCCTGAACAAGAATGAGACCCCATCTCTGCTAAAATAGAAAAAAACTGAATGGGCACGGTGGTGTGCCTGTAGTCCCAGCTACTTAGGAAGCTGAGGCAGAAGGATCCCTTTGAGCCCAGGAGTTTGAGGTTGCTGTGAGCTAGGACAATGCCACGGCACTCTAGCCTGGGCAACAGAGTGAGACTCTTATCTCAAAAAAAAATACTACATTTTAACAAGAGTAAAATAATATGTAACAATGTTATTTTGTACCTACTGATGACTTTATTGTTTCAAACATATATACACATTATCAAAACCAAAATATCTCATTAAAATCCCTAAGCAGAAGAAAGGTAGCATTCAGTACAGTTGCAAAAACTTGCCACTGGTTTAGGAGGTTGGCAGAAAGAAAATATATGCAGAAGAAATGATTTGAGCAGCATAGAGATGGCAATGCCCAAAACTGTAGAAAGCAATAAATTGCTAATTGAATTGCCAGCCTGGATTAAAACTTTAGTTTTGTCAATGTCTCTTAATATGTGTAGGCAGAATTTTATGAGAAAATTTACTAATTGAGTACATTCTTCATGGATTCTTGGCCCAGCATCCATGAAAGGAATGTAGAGTATTAACATCCTAAAGTTATACATAAACTTTAAAAAATTTTTTGGTATATATGCATATGCATTTTTATGTGGTGAAGGTTCATAACTTTGACTAGATTATCAAGGAAGTCCAGGGCTTTAAGAAAGGTTGGGGAGTGGAGAGTTTTGGGGCAGAAAGAGTCTAGAACCTTTGGCCTGTTTTTGTGAGTAAAATATTATACCAGTCATTTAGGGTATGCGTAGTTACTACATTTGGAAAAGGGTTAGTGTGGTGGGTGTCTTGCTCAGATTAGATACTCAATAAATGTTAGTAAAGAGGAACATACTCAGAAAAGTTGTAAGTGTAATGCCAATCCAAGATGGCCTGATTGTGTATTCAAATCTAATAAATCCTCATGGACAAAGAAGAGTTAGGTCTCAGAAGATGAATAGGATTGGTTTAGGATAGTGCTTCAGCCCTAAGGCCTTCAGGCATACATTCTAATGAATTTGTTTATTTCCTATACACCTAGAAAGTACTAATCATGTACATTGTTGGGAGACTTGCAGTGTGAGTCCCTCAAGTCATTTTCTATACAGCGTAATTCTCTCATAGAACCTTGATTGTGAAAGGCTGGTTTAGGAGGTTGGCAGAAAGAAAATATATGCAGAAGAAATGATTTGAGCAACATAGAGATGGCAGTGCCCAAAACTGTGTAGAAAGCAGTAAATTACTAATTGAAGCAGATTATTTTTATAATGAATGATATAAGGCAGAAAAGTATAGGTAGGGTAGAATTTTGGAGGGTTCTTGAGTGGTAGACTTATTGGTAATTTTTAATAGCCATGGAGTTGGTATATACTGTATTTGAAGACAGGACTTAAATATAGCATTCAGGACCATAAAGAATATAGTCTTAGAGACTATAAGAGATATGTAAATCCATGAGTATAAATTTATTTATTTAAAGGTATTAGTATCACGTTTACCTTCTGTTAGCCTATGAGCTGTGAGGTGCTTTTATGTCAAATAGTTGAGATATTGTTGGTTACTAAGATTGTGAAAAATACTCTGTTAATTAAGTCAAAAAATATATGGGAAAATGTACTGACTGGCCTTCACAGTTTTGTTTGCTTTAATAGGACCTAAGGAAAGCTGGGTTGCTGATTTTTGCTAATAAACAAGATGTTAAAGAATGTATGACTGTAGCAGAAATCTCCCAGTTTTTGAAGCTAACTTCTATCAAAGATCACCAGTGGCATATCCAGGCATGCTGTGCTCTTACTGGCGAAGGGTAAGAAGTCTTTCTTTTAGAGAATGTGTATTTAGTGTAGAAATGATTGATTCTTAAAATCAGTAAATATTTGACTACTATGTACAAAACATTGTAAGGGAGAGATGTAAGATATAGTTCCACATCTGTAATCAGAGACTTTTTAGGATGGTTCTATAAATAGTAAAACATACAACATAAGCATAATACACAGGGACCTACTGAACTAATACATGTAAATAGATAGATAATATAGTTACTGTAAGAGCTTAGAGAAATTGGAGTGTCATTGAGAGCTGGAGAAGTCAGGAAATATATCTAATAATGGTGGTAGAACTTAAGTAATATTTTTTGAGTGTGTCCTGTGTTTGGAGTGCTTTCCATACTGCGTTTCATTTAATCCTCATAACAGTCCTACAAATTAATTGTTTTTAAGTTATGTTTTGTACATAAAGAAGTTGAAATAGAGGATTTGCATCTAAGGCTAGTTTGGGGATACTCACTGTTGCCACCAATGTGGTCAAAAGAGGGAGTTGGTTGTACTTTTAAAAAAATAAAAAAGGATTGAGAGAATTGGAGACAGTGTGGCATAAGGGTCCTTGGTTCTGGAATGACAGGTGTTGGAAGAGAGGTAGGTGCCTACATTAGAATTTTGCCCTGGTCTAGTGCCCAGAGATGAAAGAAAATATTTCAAGAAGGAGGTTGTAGTCAGCATAGTGAAATATTAGGTCAAGGACCAGGAGGATGGAGAGGGCGCCACTGAATTAACAATAAATGAGTAAATGCTGTCAGAGCAAATTCTGTGGATTGGAAAAGTGTGCATGGGATAAGCGTAAAGAGGAAATGGATTGTCGAAAACAAAGATAGCAGCTGTAAACTCTTGAGTGTGGCAAGAAGAGGAAGGAGAGATGAAATAGAGGCAGTTAGAAATTGGATAAAAAACTAAAAGGAGGGGCAAGCTAAAGTAAAGTTTTTGTTGTTGTTTTTCTAAAATATGGTACATCTGTATATACAGTCCTGTGTCATATAATGACATTTTGTTCAGTGATAGACCATATGTGTATAATGGTGGTCCCAGAAGATTAAAATTAAAGTACTGGATTTTTGTTGTACTTTTTCTATGTTTAAATGTGTTTAGGTACACAAATACCATGGTGTTTCCAATTGCCCACAGTATTCAGTATAATGACATGCTGTACAGGTTTTATAGCCTAGGAGAAATAGGATATACCATATAGCTTAGGTGTGTAGTAGGCTATATATACCATGTAGGTTTGTGTGGGTAAACTCTATGATGTTCATACAATGAAGAAATCACCTAACAACACATTTCTCAAAATGTATCCCTGTCGTTAAGGGGTGACGCATGACTGTATTTAAAAGCAGAGAAAAAAGAATGAAATTAAAGATGAAGGATTCTAAATAGAGGTCTTAGATTTTGGGTTTAGGTTCTTGAGGTGTTGAGAAAGGGCAAAAGCTTGGGACATAAATTAGCTAAAATGGGAGAAATTTTTTTCAAGACCATGTTGAAGGGGGGAAACCAATATAATGAGTCATTGAAGCCAAATCTTAAGGAAATAGAAGGCATCATTATAGACATTTGGAAGGACATAATTAGAACCTTAAAAAAGCAAACCTTTTCATTAAAAAAACCCCACAGATAATACCAATTGTCCATGTATTCATTTAAGTAAAAATGTATACATTTTTTTGTCAAATAGTTTAATGTTGAGATATATATTTTATATATATATATATCTTTGTCTATCAAGTAAAAGCACAATCAGTATTAAATTTGGCAGTAAAAAGATTGATAAGATTTAAGTTATATACTTTGATAATTGACTAATTGTGTGGAAAATATTAGTGTAGAAATGAACTCAGTTTCATTTTTAAAAGAGGAAAAGCGGTTTCATTATAAAAAGAGGAAAACAATAGATGATGGTCTCTTTTCAAGTTTTTGTTTATGTGCCCTTCCATTTGCAGCAGTTAACAAGTAGAAATGTTTGGTTTTGAGGGAATATTCTATTTCCCATCTACACTCTAACCATCTTGGTCTAAATTCTTGGTTTTACTGTTGGTTGACACTTTGATTCATTGGACTGGAGATCACAAACTTTGGAGCTTGGCCTCATTTTGACTCCCACTTCTGCTATTTGCTTAGCTTGCCAAGCCTGAATTTCCTCTGTAACATTAGGATTTTGAGCTCAATGTGGTGAAGATTAATTAAAATAATCAATGTTAAGTCCTTAGTATAGTTTCTATTTTGTTATTAGGTAACTACTATTAATTTCACAGTTTGGAGTTAAATAATCTACTCACCTATTAATGGTAGTTTAAAAGTGAGGAATCTATTAATAGGAGAAAAACAAGATCTAACCTCCCCCAAACAACCATTTATTTACCCCATTTTTTTTCTATTTGTGTCTTCTTTTACATTATTAGACTCAGACTTAACACAGAAATCTGAGGGTTTTTAAAAAATTTAATATAACATATCTACAAATGCTCATCATAGATAATAGTACTTCACAATAGTTCTTCATTTTGTTGGAACATAATGTGTACCACCATTTCTCTCTTGCTCGACTTTTAGTTTCTTTTACCACAATGAGCATCCCTTTCTGTATTTTGGATTATGTTCAATTACCCATTGTTCAGCATTCACTGGTATTACTGATAGGAGATTTTATTGCCTTCAAATTTTTTATATACAGATGTAACTTATGTATATTTTGTTTTAATTGCTAATTGTGCACTTCTGCCCATTAGTAATACTAAGTCAAGAATTTAATAAGATAATCCATATATATAACTGTATCTGTAATATTTAACTACTATATATTTAGCTTAATATCTGCCATTTTTATTTCATTTATATTATGAGCATTTTATTATATCATAAAATAGTTTGGTTTTCTTTTTCTTTTTTTTTTTTTGAGACAGAGTCTTGCTCTGTTGCCCAGTCTAGAGTGCTGTGGTGTCAGCCTGGCTCACAGCAACCTCAAGTTCCTGGGCTCAAGCGATCCTTCTGCCTCCGCCTCCTGAGTAGCTGGAACTACAGGCATGTGCCCCCATGCCTGACTAATTTTTTCTATATATTTTTAGCTGTCCTAGTAATTTCTTTCTATTTTTAGTAGAGATGGGATCTCACTCTTGCTCAGGCTGGTCTTGAACTCCTGAGCTCAAACATCCACCTGCCTTGGCCTCCCAGAGTGCTAGGATTACAGACGTGAGCCACCACACCAGGCCCATAAGATAGTTTTTGACAGTACAATTTTAAATGTTTCATCATGTGAATGTCCCACCACAATCTATTAATTTTTTCCTCTATTTCTAGTCATTTAAATCCTTTAAAAATGTTTTAAACAGGCTGGGCATGGTGGCTCACGCCTGTAATCCTAGCACTCTGGGAGGCCGAGGCGGGAGGAATGCTCAAGGTCAGGAGTTCAAAACCAGCCTGAGCAAGAGCGAGACCCCGTCTCTACTATAAATAGAAAGAAATTAATTGGCTAACTAATATATATAGAAAAAAATTAGCCGGGCATGGTGGTGCATGCCTGTAGTCCCAGCTACTCGGGAGGCTGAGGCAGGGGGATCGCTTGAGCCCAGGAGTTTGAGGTTGCTGTGAGCTAGGCTGACGCCATGGCACTCACTCTAGCCTGGGCAACAGAGTGAGACTCTGTCTCAAAAAAAAAAAAAAAAAGTTTTAAACAGCATTCTTATATGTAAATTATGTTTATCTCTGATTTTTTTGATACATTTTTAGAAGTGGGAAAAAAGAGTACAGGGTATTGATATTTTAAATATTTTTGATATATTAATATATTGCCACATATATTTTTGATATATATTACTTTCTGTGAGCATATTGTGTAATTATTGAGCTCCTTTTATGTGTCAGGCAGTGTTCTAGGCACTAGAAATAAAGCTAAACCAAAACAGCATGGATGTAACATGTGTGAGAATATGAGTTTGCTGCAACATCACCTGCATTGATTTTTATCTTTGTTCAGCGAATGAAAAAATTATACCTTCTTTTAGTTTGGTGTTCTTAGTTTTTTAGTTCAAAATTTAATCAAATGACTTTGTTTTCCTTATAGATTGTGCCAAGGACTTGAATGGATGATGTCACGACTTAAGATTAGATGATCTCTACTGACCTCTTCTCATAGACTTTGTATAAACGAAGTGCTGGACTTTACCTGAAAGCTGCAAAAATTAATGGTTTAGATATATTTATAATAAACTGATTTAAACTTTTTCTATAAGAAGAAAAATTAAGACCACTTATTTGAAATCAAAGATGAAGTCTCACCTTCCAATTTGCTTTCTCGTTAGTTCCTTCCAAAGTAAGTTATTAAAGCTGTGATTGAAATTTTTCTCATAATGAATCCTCTCAGGACATTGTGTAGCCAATGGTAAGTAAAAGGGAGAGGAAGACATTTTGAACTAAGAGCTTTATTATCAGTATAACCCTCCCTAGTTGAATGTTCTCTTGTTCCATTAAGTCAAAATACAAATCAGCACAGATATTCAGTTTCCAATATTTTAAAATGTAATGTTACTTATGAAAAGTATTTTGTATAAGGTTGTGTATGTATTGTGTATATACCTCACGTTCAAGTTAATGGCTTTGATTTATGTTCTAAAGAAAAGCAAATACAAAAAATAATAATATCCTTAGTTATAACCATAATGAGATAAGTACTGGCATTGGTGTAAAGTGCCATTTTGTACTCTTCCCTTATGTTCTCTGTATTGTATTAACCAACCCCCCAAATCATTGAGCTGCTCTTAAAAAAAAAAGGAAAAGGAAAAAGCTTGACACTGTGTACCTGTTTTTTTTGTTGTTGTTGTTGATCAGTCACACACATGGAAATATAATTCAACTGAGTGGAGTATCTTATCAAATTCTTGACTTAGTATTACTAATGGGCAGAATGACACAATGTGCAATTATCAGATTATTCCTTTTATTGGTCCTTATGACTTCTAAATTACTGAATAAGTTATTAATCCATGAATCAGTTAATCATAAATTGTGATTAAAATTATCAAATGAATTCTCAGCATTAATCAAAAACTGTGAAACATGTCTACCTAGAGAAGTAACATTCTACAAATACCACTAAATAATTTAGCTATAGTCTTTTTAAGCATTAAATTATATCTCAAATAGTCAAAGTGAATTTGAGAGTAAAAGTAAGATATATTTTCCAAGCAACATTATTAATTTCTTAATTTGCAAATTCTTACTGTTTATTTTAGGACTTGGGATAGTTTTTTGTTTCTGTTCTTGTATCTTCTTCTACCACATAAATACATTGTTTGGCAATTATAGAATGCAGATATTTTTAAATGCTTTTAAGAATTTGGTATAAAAATTGATTTGTGCAATGTATTATTTGCACTAAGAAGTAACTTGACCCCAAATACCTTTTATGTTTGCTTAGGGTATTTTTTTTCCAATATCTGAAAGTCAAAGGTATTTCTGTCACAACTGTAAACAACTTTATCCTGAATGTGTTAAAACATATTCTTGAGTACTGTATCTGTATATCTTTCATGCCTTGAAGGTCTAAAAGCTAATCCAAACTGGCATGTTTTAGAATATTTAAGAAAAAAGAAACCTTACTTTTAATACCAACCTTTTAAATTTCATGAAGATGTTGGGGAGGAATAATGACAAAACTTTGAAAGTTCCCTTCTATAAAATATAAAATATTCAGTGTCAGTTCATGGGAAATCAGTATTTAAAATTGGATGTTTTGTGTTTTATATTGTTCAAAATACAAACATAACATTTAATATTTGTCAACATGCTCTTTACAAAAGTAAATCCTGTATTGCTAAGCTTTCTTATATATTCTCATACTTTTTTCAAATCACTATATAAGAAATTACTTGATATTTATTAAAAATCCCCTTAGAAACCCAAATATATTTTATGGTTTCATCAGAAACAAATATTTTGTGAAGTAGCCCAGAAAATCTACTCCTTTTGTTCTTTTTATTTTTAATTTGGATAATCATGTGCTTAGTCCCTTAGACTGCTGCCATATCAGTTTAACATGACATAAAGGTGTTGGCTAAAATTTATTCTTAATTGGATGTTTAAAGCATGCACTGCATTGTTACAGTTGGTTTAGTGTATTAGATTATTGACATGACATCATGAGAATGCATGAAATCTTATACCACATTATAAGACATGGTTTTGTTTTCTACCCTTCTAAGCTAAGCATTAAAAATAAGGTGATATCTGTGTACCTGTACATTAAACCTAAATTACAGCTGGGAAAAAGATTTAAATTTATCTGTGAGAATATCAAAATCATTTTTAACAGTATTACTTTCAAATAAGATGGAGAGTCTCATGAATAGTCATATTGGCAATTTGTATGTAGTTTAAGTGGAATGAAGCAAAGGGCAATGCTTTTGGATTTTTAATATGCTACTTTTGGATGTAAGCAAACATCTTATTAGGGTTAGTATGCTCAGCTTTGAAAGAACAAAAATACTTATGTACACATGTGGCTAAATTTAAATATCCTGTTTTTGATACTAATTTTGAAAGTCATAAAACTTCTTTTGATATCATATACTGTAAGCATTTAAACATGTTTAATTTTGTCATAATAACATTTATAAAGTACATCTTACACATTATATTGAGGATTCTTTTTTGAAATTTTCAATACTGTTTATCTTTCCAGCATATCTTGGCTCTCATAATGGGCAAAGAATACAATGGAAGCGGGTGGATTGGGGGTTAGTGGGGAGGCGGTAGGGAATCATTTTCTTATATGACATTTGCCTTAAGAATAAAAAAGTGCTTTAGCACTGCTGGCTGGCATTTTTAATGCAGGTAGTGAAAGTGATTTTAGAAGTGTGGCATGAAAAAGAGGGAAGGGAGTTTCTGTTTTCTGGCCTTTAAGAAGTGCCTAGTAGGTAGTTATAGTGAGTCACAGAGAAGTGCACAGAGCTTGAGGAAAGGCATGAAGTCCCTGAGATTTTCTTTTCCTTTTTGCGTGAGTGTATAGTATTAAGATGCCTAGAAATGGGACTCTATTGTCCCCTCTCATTATAGGCACTTTACATTTCTTGCTGTGACTGCAGCAACCACATACAGTACAGTCAACCTCAAAAGCTGTTTATATTAGTGTAAATAGAAAAAACTGTAGAAAATTTTCTGATTTTCTGTTGGGCAATGTATCAGTAGTATATACTACTTTGTATATAGGGATAGCACCACATCATAGGTTGCCTGTAAACTTTGGAGTCGTCTTCTCTCAGTTGCCCAGTTGTATATCCCGGCATCAATCCCTTTTTCAAGACTGGATAGAGATGAGATTTCTTCACATGGGTTAACTACGACCCCTCCCACAATCCAAATATAATCTGGAACTTAACTACTTCAGGATAGATGTCCCTATACTTCAGCTATCCTTTATTCTCCTGTACCTTTAATCACTATCAGTGAAGATATGTTACTCCTGGAGGTATTCTAAACTTTGCCTATAACCATTGTTCCCCAAATCACTAGTTTCTAACTAGCTTCTCTAGTTTCTAAGTAGCTTCTCTTGCGATTTTCTCACTACTGGCTTGATTTACAGATCTGGACTTTGCTCATTAAAGAGCAGTGTCAGAGTTGTTGAGTTTGTCAAAAGAACAGCTTGCAGTATATATAGTATATAGATGCCAGTAGTAGAATTCTGTAAATTATACTATATTTAACATTTTAATGCTTCTTAGTTTAACTCCATATGGTAAGAAGTAGATTCATAAAGGTAAGAGAAATATCTAGATTCTGCTAGCTCCTTGAGCTACTAATTAGGCATGGAGAGGATTAAGTTATATGTGTATTATCTTCCCATTAGCAAGAATGGTTATGTTTCAGAGAATACCAGTTCAAACAGTCTGAATTGGAAAAAGATACCAAACCAAATTTATATGTAATATTTAACCTAAGGACATCCTTAAAACTATTGCCCATATTCCATTTTTTTTCCTCATGTTTACTTAAAGATCAAAGATAAACATTAGTTATCTAAAGTAATTAGTGATGAATAGCCTATTTTATAAAATAAACCTGTTGAAATGGGCTTTAAAAGACACAAAAATAACCGGCTGTCATGCATTGATTGTGTAGATGCAGATATAACATAGAAAATAACATCTTTAAAGCTCCAGTTATACAAAAATAAAACTTCTATGTCATGCTCCCTCAAAGAGTATATGATAGGTTATTTTAAGATCATGATAGTAGAGTAAAAAAAGCTGGAATTTAAAATTTTGGATGCTAAAAAGTGCTTCTATTTAACCTTAAAATCATGTAGAATTGTGAAGAAATGTAACAGGATACAGTTGGATTAGTTATGCAATACTTCTTATCAATTGTCTAGTCTTTGTATATTCTAAAAACTAAAGCTTAAATCTTTATAGCTTGCTAGAGATGCTGCTTTTTGGTAGAAAATTCCCATAGACTGTACTAAAAAGTGCCTAAAAATTGATTTGTGTTTTTAAGTCCATCTAATAAATTATATGTATTTTCTATGGTATTGCATGTGCTTGTCTTACTGATGACACAGCCTGAAGGGTTCCTAAATCACAATTTGTACTTTATTTGAATAAAAAGCCTTGAAATCGAAGATGCCCGCCTAACCCTCAACAAATCATAGTGTAATGAAGCACAAGCAAAACTACTTTTTCTCTTTCCTAATACAGATATGTCATGACCCTGGCATTAGTTGGTTGATACAGAAACTAGAAAACTGAACTCTGTTACTGTTTTTTAAAACAGTTTTAACAGAAAATTATATGTTTGAAATGCTCAGTAAAAGTTTGTCATTTGTATAAGAGTAGTCTCTTGAGTCTCATAGTTAGTGATTAATAATTTTGAGTGTTATTTAAATGTTGAGCCATTTCATTTGTGTATATGTATGTATGTGCCCAAATCACTCTTTGTTTAGATCCTACTTACAAATCAAAATATTTGATAGGAATCTTACTACATTTTATATTGTTCCAATTTGTTTTTAACTGACCATAGAGTGTGACTGTAAATTCTGGGGCAAAGCTTGATTGTGTTTTCAGTTATGTATAATTACATTGTGTTCATATTATAAATTTTGCATGGAAAGTGAAACGTGTATGTGATTTTAAAGTATTGTAATGTATACTATTCCCTTCCCGTAAACTTCTTCCATTGATGATATATGAAATTCCTCTCATTATTTTTGCTTGAAACTAGTCTTTTAGATTGAAGTAGCCTTTTCCTATATTATGTCCCTCTGTGGTTCCATGAGATGAGGTGATACCTGCAAAGCACTTTTAAAGATATTTTTTAGGTTAATGTCCAACATACAGCATTGACGAGGCAGCTATGTCTAATGAGGGCTCTTTGGATTGCTAGAGATGAGAAAAACATACACTAATCATTTTAATTTGTGCTTAAAGTATATTTTACTAATATTGATTTTAAATATGAAAAATTCTTTTTGCAGATATTAATCTTTCTTGTTTATCATATTTTCCTAGAGAAGCCTAGATAAAAATGTGTTGCAACTAGTCTCTCTGTATAACATCCCTCCACCCCACCGACTGAGCTCTGTGCATATTGATAAACAGATAAGAAAACTTTTTGAAAATTTTTAGGTTTGTTGTATTGGAATTTCCCATGTGATAAAATGTTTTGCCTCAAGCTTTGCATGCAAGAAGAGGTAGAAGTTTTGTCTTATCGCTATCATTTTACAAATTTTTGTTTCTCTGTATGCTAGGAAATGTCACACACAAGGAATATCTGAAGAAGTGAGGATCTTAGTG